GATAAATTGATTCCTTAAAAAAAGATAAAGATAAGTTCTCTCTAATTTTAAAAACTTGTGAGTTTTTTGGTATTTCTTTTCACGATATACAACCACGTTCCCACCTTTTCTTTTTCTTTTTTTAACCTGACATGCGATAGACTATTTTGCTTCCTCACGCAAGAGGAGTGAGAATCTGACGTGGCCAAGCCACGTCAAGTTCAGTGATTAGTTCGGGGAATACCTTTCAGTTCCCCTATCACTGCTCTTGCTTTTATTGTATATAAGGAATGACAAAATTGTTATTTTATAAAATTTGATCAATAGATAAGTAGGGAAAAAAAAAAAGAAAAAAAAAAGAGGCAGGCTAACAGTGTCGTTGAGTAAGGTGGCCAAATGTAACGGGTTGGCACTTATCATTTATTTAAAATTTTAAACCATTAAGTAGTGATGAACTCGCAACGCTCTTGTAGCGGCTCAGGCCACCCTGTCTATCTAGAGTGAAGAGTCAGGCGCCTTTTGAATCGGACATGACACCATATTAATGATTAAGTTTGACAACAGCCGAAAACTTTTATTAAAAAATTTAAATTATTAAATAATACCATATACCCACCTATTTTTGCCCATTCATTTGTTTTTAAGGATAGGGACAAACTCTACTGTGAGACCAAATCCAAGAGAGGTCAAACAAAGGAGGCCAAATATCAGGAGATGTCAAAGTATGGAGGTGAGTGTAATTACCCTAATTTTTTTTATGGATTGCTCTCTATTTTATGTGAATACTCGAACATGGCTGCACAGTCTCTCAATAGTCCCCACACTAGTTCTTCCTTACCCTTCAAATTCCGAAAAATGTAAAGCGTAATTACGTGAGAGACTCAACAATTTCTCCGAGATCTGCAACATGTCATCAAAGATTTCCGATATTGTAGGAATAATATCTCATCGCCCTTTTCTGTTCAAATCAGTAAAATCAATCTCTTCTCTCTCTTGTTGTTGTTCCCAATTTAGTTCATCAGAGAGGTGAAACACCTCTGGAGAACCAATTTATCCATAGCACAACTAAAAATTCGGTATACCCAACTCTTGGTCCTCTGATTCAAACATCTATAAATAGGAGAACTAGGGTTTGATTTATACCACAAAGTTATATACTATAGTTTACTGAGAGATACGTAGTGGGGTGTGTTGAGAAGACTCCGTTTTGATCTTTTGAAGCTTTAAAAGTAGCTGTTTTTGTGTACATTGTATGCAAATGGACAAGGGAAAGAAAATTGTAATGAGCGAAAATGGTAGTGCATTTGATCATATCGATCGAAGCAAAGTAAAGATTTTACTTTGTGAAATCGACTTGGAGAGTTGTGGAGAAGTAATCACACTTCTTCGCAAGTGTTCCTATCAGGGTATTTTTTCTTTTCTTTCTCTTTCTGTTTGGTTATTTAGTTTTTGCTGCATTAATTTAAATATTTGCGATTGCTTCTTCTTATAGGAATTATATAATTTTGAAAGTGTTCACATCAGTACACAAATTAACTGGTTTTTCTATATTATTGGCCGAAAATGTTGGTTAGTCCAGCTTTTTTTCACATTACTACATTGTTTATTTGCTGCTGCTCTGTTTTGGTTTTTACCCTCATAACCTGATGAAAACATATGTGTCTGATCAACTCAGAGCGGGAAACTCCCATTTCTTAATATTTTACTACAGTTATGAACTTATGATTTACGGAGTAATTAGGTGAATTTGCAATTATCAGTTCAATTTTGATTTATTTTTCTCCTAATTATACTATATTGTGATTGTACTTTATATGGTCTGTAATGTGTATTGTTTGCCTGAAGGATAATGCCTTTGAGTTAGAATCTTCTTTTTTGAAATTTAGTTGTGGTATTGACCATCAGAATTATTTTGAAGCCAGATTCAATATTTTTATAGGTTGTTTTATATGTATTGCTTACTTATTATCATTTATACTTGTTTTAGCATATAGGAGTGGAAATTTTGCACGTGTTTAAGATGTGAAGAAACAAAAAGGTTGGAACTAATCATTAAGCTAAGCACCATTAGAAAGTTGGTTGTTGGCTCCCTTTGTTACTATATATGGAAATGTTTTAACGAGGAAATGACATAATATGACAATGCCTTTTCACATGGTTCTAATTAACATTAGACAAATGCGATGGAAACAATTTTCATACTCTTTAAAGTAAATTATTATCTCAAGATTACATGCATTACACCAGACAAAGAAAATGTTTCCTATTAAACATGTTTGAGATATCATAACTTAAATTTTAATTCTGACAGTTCGCTAGAAACATGCATGTACGCACACAAATTTATATCTAATTAAACGTCCCTTTAGATTCTTTTGTGTTCCTTTTTCATGGAGAAAATAGGTTTGTAAGCATCCATCGGTGATTTTTCCCCCCTTTCTTTTCTTGAAGTGCAGATTTGATAAGAAGCTCATGAAGTTTCATATAAAATCCAACGTGGTCAATGATTTGTGACTTCCCATCAATTGTGATTTTAGATTTTCTAATTAATGCATCTTGTACTCCCCTTCAAATGTGATTTTAGAATTTCTTTGGAAGTTCGCATATGAAAGCTTCAGCTTCTCTTTTAGACTTTTTAACCTCTACGTTATAGTGACCACTCTATTTTCTAAATTGTAGTTTTGGATTGCTCAATGGCTCCAGTAAACTTATTAGGTTTGCTGTACTTATAATTCTTCCAACACCGTACTCTGAATTGATTATGGATTCATGTTGGTTCACAGTAACATCGGTGTGGACGCCTGCAGAGATGGTTAATACACTCAATGCTGAGGGGCCAAATATCGATATTATTCTTGCTAATATAAACCATTTAGTGGCTAATGGTGCACGAGTGTTGAAGTACGTTATGGGGAGTAAAGAGTTGCAACATATTCCTGTCATCAGTAAGCCTTATTATATCTACTGTCAATATTTTTATATAATACACCTTCTTTAGTTTGGTATAAATCATAGGCAGATCCTCAATATTATACTGCTTTTGTTCTGTGTAGTGTTGTTGACAGAGGACGAAATCCCTACTATTGGGAAGTGCTTGAAACTCGGTGTAACTAGCTTCTTAATGAAACCTTTATCCATTGATGAGCTAGTGAACATTTCATTTCATACACAAAGAAGGCAGATGGCTTCCTTCTAGCACTTGACTTTGGCAGCGGGTAAATTCATTTTCCTTTATGTTTTTCCCCTATGAATCTTTAAAGAGGATTAGGTTGTCACTGCCTTAAATATTTACTCGCCACGGCACAGGCAAAGAAGTGCAGGAGATGTACTTAAGTGTTTGCTTGCTAGATATGATGCTTGAGAGTTAGATTCCATCTTCAACCAGGAACTCTTGTGGAGACATTTTTCGGCCGTGATCATATCACTAACAGGAGAATGCAAGCATTTTGTGTCGAATAGGTTGATCAGCATTTGTAATCATGGGTTGAAAGATCATAAGAATCCTTAATGAGGGTCAAGTGTGATGTAAAGTTGTACTGTATAGAATTATAGACTAATATCATAAGAATCCTTAATAAGGGTTAGGTGTGATGTAAAGTTGTACAGTATATATTATAGACTAATACTTGCAGATGGATTTGTTTATATCTCTGTGATGCTTTTGAATTTAAGAGAATAGTAACCCATGTCAAAATCTACTAGCAGCTGGCATCAAAATGATCCGTGAGGCATTTCACAATTTAAGATGTAAAGAGAATTTTTTATAACATATTTGGACAAAATAGATTCTTATTGATTTTTTATTGGAGTTTTAGAGACCATTTAATATTATTAATTGCAGTGTCAAGTGGCAAGTGCACAACTTTTACTTACCAAAGACTAGGTTTCAAACCTCAAACTCGGTTTTTAAAAGAAAATCTTTATAGAATCTATATTAGACCAATTATTTTGTATGAGACATATAGTGTTGGCAATAAAAAAATAAAAAATAAAAATATTAAGGTGGATGAGTGAAGTGATAAGAAGAGATAATGTTATCAATAAGGGAAAAAAAAAATTAGGTTTATAATTAGAAATAGTAAATTTAAATGGTTTGCTAGCGATCGCAGTGTAACATATTCGGATAAATATTGATGTAAACCGATGGAATCGGCCAATATGAAAGTGTGTAACAATATTGGATTGTTGAAAAAAAATTACGAACCGTCCTATACATCGCGCACCGACTTATACGATGAATCATGAATAGAAAATATAGAACTTAAGAGACTAATAAGATATCCAAAAATGATATGAATGAAATTATTAAAATGACTTTAAAAAGTGAAGTCTGGAGAGGAAAAAAACATGTAATAGTAGGATAGATTGAAGAAAGAAAATTTAGGTCGGCCAATTTCATTCTTACAATGTTAAAGCAATGATAATGTATCATTGATAATTCAATATAAAAAAATTGGCGCCACAATGTAGTGGTGATAGTGAATAGTGATGACGGTGGTGGTCTTGCCATTAAAGCTATTGGATTCCACCACTTAGAGTATAAAGATAAAACAATTGATTAAATTAATAAGAATATCAATTTTCAATGTTAAAACGCAAAAGTTATTTATTTATTTTTATCTGACAAAAGTTAATGTAAAATCATCATAACACGCAACGTTGTCATTATTTTTCAAATACAAAATTATGAAAATAATATCAAACCTCTCCATGCAATAGAAGTTTGACATCAAATACAAAATACTTACATAATAAAATATAAAATTAACAACATGTAAAAATAAAATAATAAACTATTAACCTGTGGGACGGAGAGTACAACTTAATGCTCTCTGTGTCAAGGTTAAAAAATGCTATCGTGTAATTCAACTATTCACACTACAAGTCGACCATGGTTTTCGATTAAGACCGCATTTTCCTTTACAACAAATCAACCATTAGGCTGATTTTTTTTTTTAGGTAAAAACCATTAGGCTGATTTTGTTAGTACGTGAAAGATAAATTTTTTTGGATATTTTATGTGTGAATACTTTGGTTATCCAGTAGAAGTTTCTCCTCTGATTCCCTGGCTCCTATTTGACGAAAATGGCGCAGAAGACAAGGCCGAGCAAAAGCGGAAAAAGGAGGAGCTATTCATCTCCGAGCACAGACCGGACCATCGGCTCACCTGGTTTCGAAACAGGACCAACTGGGTCTCGCCCATCAAGACTCTCTCCCTCCGCCTCTCTTCTCGATCGTGAATTCGTCACCGAAGACCTCACTCTCTTCGGAAACCTGCAAATCTCCCCTGACGACACCAACCCAAACCCTAACCCTAGAAGCTTCCCTTACAGTGTCAAACAACAATGCTGGGACAAGGCACAGAAGGTCAAAGGCCGAGACCCAGATCGATGGCGTCGGGACGCACTCGGCAACACTGTGTTCCGGAAGCTCGTCGGTTGCCCCGGTTGTCTCTGCCATGATTATGATCACATCATTCCTTATTCGAAGGTACTCCAGTTTCAATCTTTGTGCGTTTGCATGCATTTCCGTTTGTGGGTGTTGTTCATTTTGTTACTTTTTGGGATTATACCAATTGGGTTTGCTTCAATTTAGCAATTATCTTCTGGATTATGCATTTCTGAATTATACTCCATTTTCCACTTTTCTTAGGTTATGTGTTCCCTTTTGTGCTTGCTCTTTATTTTGTTGCTAGTGATGATTATGGGAAGTGGGTTGCCTTGATTTGGGGTTTTGATTTTTGGGTTGATTGAACTTATTGACGTCGATCTCTATATTTTTAATCTTACTGTAGAATTGAACAGTTGATGGCTTTTCCAAACATTGATTAATTTTACATTTTTCTGAAATGGGGTGCCTTGAATGTATATCAGTGCATAGAGGAAAGAAATTACTTCATATAAACTAACTATGATGACTTCATTAAAACTAATTTTATTGGCTAAATGTATTACCTTTTCTTTGCATCTTCTTGAATTTTTTAGTACTATGATTCAAAAATCATGTTTTTTCCTATTACTTTGTGTTATTTGATTGGGTCCTTTTGGGGACAATATATTGAAATGAAACTTGAAAATTAGGTCCTTGGTCATACATTATAAAATGCTCTGACGTAAATTTTAAATATCTTATCATATAGAACAGACTTTTCTTTTGGTTGAAGTGGGGCTGATGGGGGAATTGTTAGCTACCATACGTCATTCAGCACTTATCTTATATCTTAAAACTTGCGTATTTCAAGTTTCATATGCACAGCATTGTCAATGGTTCTTCTTTTATAATTGCTTTCCTTTGGTTCAACTTCAGTTCTTGACAGGAATCAGTCTTGCATTTTCAAACCCTTCCCTTTCTGAATTTTATCATATGTGAGGAAGTGTATGGAAATTGTGCAGTCTTGTCATCTTGCACAATGATCCTACTCGTCTTGAAGCTTATCTTAATTTTTTGTTGAGAATTTCTGTCTGAGATTATGTTTTGAATATTCGCAGGGGGGGAAAAGCACATTGGACAATTGTCAAGTTTTACAGGTATTGGTTATGTTTCCTTAGCTATTGGCATCCATGATTATTGCATTTAAGTGGAATACTTTTCTATGCTTCTATATAGCATGCTGTAGCTAATGCTCTTCTACAATGTCATCAATACATAGGCCGTTTTTAAAAGAAATGTTTCTCTGAAAGTTCACTTGATAAACTAACAATCTAGAACTTCATTTACTCTCAATAACATAGCTGTTAAAGGCACGAGATGCACTTAGATGCCAAGGTCTCTTGAAGCCCAAACGCAAGGACAGCTCCAAGCGTGACTGAATTAAGGCACAATTTTGATGGAATATGGAAAAAGATCACATAGCATTGCAATTTTTGTAACTACTGATAGTATAATCACTTATAGATGTGTAATGTATAACATATAATCACAGGATTCACAAATCACTACAATTATAAATCAAGAACATGGCATGATACATGTCAAATAAAACATATCCAATTATCTAAATAATCAAAAAGTTCACATATCATAAATAATCATCAAAATATTAAATAATCAACTATAGAAAAATGCATTAAAAAAAAAAAAGAAAAAAAGAAAAACCAAAAGTGATAACAATCAAAAGCATGAAACTCAAAGTAATTAACATCCATTGAATCGTTTCAACTCCTTCATAACAAGGCAACACTAAGGGGGAATGAAAGATGAATTTTGTGATTCTGAGATAAGACCATCAATCAACAATCACCCTTCGCAGCAATATCTGGACAAAGAATTCAAGCACCTCCAACAAAACCATTTCGTGATTCCGAGATAAGACCATCATTCACCCTTCGCAACCTCAAAGCGATCACCTTAGCTATTATCTTATACACACTTCCCATGATGCTAATCACTTTAAATATTTGGCTTCTAATATAGCTTCACCTTTTTTGAAATAAGGGCAATGAAAGATGCATTGATACTCTACTTGAACTGCTCATGCTCGAAAAAATACCCAAAGGTTTCCGTCACCTCCTTTCTGACCAGCTCCCAATTCTTTTTGAAAGAAAGCCATAGTAAAGCCATCTGAAAACCCAGATCTATATCAGCGTTGCAGCTCTTCAATGCCGGAACTACTTCCTCTGAAATCAATCTATCCATCCACTCTCTTTCCTCCTCCAAGATGCAATCAAACTACCACCCATTCAACACCGGCCTCCAATGGCAATATTCTGCATATAAGGGTTGATAGAACAACACTTACCTCTTCTAATATCTTCTTCGGTATTTAGCTATCAATGAGCATTAACCAACCAGTGAAGAAACTTCGTATTATTGTCCCTTTCCTTGAGCCAAACAGCTCTAGATTTCTGTCTCTAATTTCCATCTTCAACAATCGGAGCTAGTGCACCAAAATGAAGTTTGGGCTCCCTTCACCTCGTTCTCAATAATCTCAAATTCCCTTTCCTTGATTTTGTAGCAGATCCATAAGAAGATAGCATCTTACACGTTACTAGAAAAGGATGGATATTGTCCCAGCTATACAAATGTAATTTTATCAATTATTTGTATTCTATAAAAAATGTGGACTTTCATCTCTTAGATACCGTGCTCCCCAAAAGGGAAAGTTGCAGGGTTCAAATCCTAATTGCGATATTGGTTTCTATGTGGAACTTAGTAAAGAAAGAAGAAATTCTCTCTCTCTCCCCCTACTTCTTGACCTACATCTTTTGACAACTTGCCACGAGGAGGCAAGGATGAAAGGACTTCACCTTTTCTTAATCTACCTGTGAATTTTTTTTTTTTTTTTTTTTTTTCTAGTTGGTACTCACACACACGTCTTTTTCGAGATTTGAACCTCTGACCTTCCTTTGGAAAGTAAGAGGCTGATACCGTTAGATCACTGGCCCGTTGGTAATCTAGCTGTTAATTTTAATAACATTGTTACAACAAATGCAGCAAACTGAAGAACAAATCACAAAACATGATAGAAAAATAAACACACCACAAACAAAGAACATAAAGATTTGGCATGGTTCAACACAAGTTATGTCTACGTCCACGGTGAAGATCCAGCGAAAGGTTTCACTATGCGAAAATCAGGATATTACAAGTTTCAGCCTCCCAAACCTTGGCTCTCGCTCTCTCACTCTTTTTTCTACAATTTTCAGTGTTTCTAATATACCAGGGTACAAGAGATTACTAAACAGGATCCACAATCCACAAGTAAAACGGGTCAAAAAATTCCCTCGGATTACCAAAAATACCGGTTGCAACACAACCCAGAACCAAATTCAAGCCACGACATCACAATTACATTAATGTCATTTTATAAGATTTTGTGCAATTCATTTGACGTTGGGGATATTTTGGTGGCATCTCTGTTTTGGCTATTCAAACAAGTGTAAGAAAATCATTGTTTATGTTGGCGTCTGAATGGTGAACTCAGATTTAGGGTACCCTGAATTTACTTATTAGGTTTTCACCTAGACACACTGTTTTGAAGCTGTTCTGTTCTATTCTTTTCTTTTCTTTTCTTTTCTTTTCTGAAAATTGTTGTTATTCTATTACTGTGTTGTGCATGTACATCACTTATTTGGAGAGTTTACTTTTGTACCGTGTCCCTTTCTTACTGCAGGCAACAGTTAACAGATCAAAAGGGAATCGGACTGAGATATCCAGAGCGGATCTTATTCAGAAAAGCTCTTACTGCCGGGTTTCAGGTAATTGCAGGTCTCATGAAGCCCGTCAAAATTGTTAAACAATGAGTGTGCAATTATTAATTTGGATACTCTATTGTAACTGTTTCCAATTATTTTTTAAACCAGTGCAGGCCGTGACATGGATCTCCTTGAATTATCGGCCTACGGCAATGTCCGTCGTGGGGCAGATTCCGGGGGATGTAGCATTCAGTGATCAATCACGGGGGCAACCAAAGAGTTTTAAAATTTACTTTTAGGATGGAAATTTTGAAAGCTGTATTTAGTGTGCCATTCAGCTGAATGTTTCTGCCCAATGTTTGGTAACACTTCATATGTAACTGCACTAATTTATAATGCTTGATATGGATCTTCCGATAATGCTCATTATTGATATACTGAACATGTGCAGACTTCTACCTCCACATCCCCTCCTCCTCTCTCCCCTGGAAATCGCATGACATTTTCAATATTTTGAGGTATTGTGCTAAAAATTTTAGTAGAATACGGTGGGCATGCTTGATTTGTAACTCTGAAAACAGTTAGTAAAAATTCAAAGAACAAAAAATTGTTTTTAAAGAATTATAAAAGATAGTTATTTAAAAAGACATTTTTATAACTTCTGTATTCAAAAAACCGTTTTCAAAAAACTGAACCGAACAGAATTTTTTGTACAATTTTCTGTTTTAAAAAATTAAAAACAGAAAACTGTTCTCAAAATTACAAACTAAGCTTTACATTTTGGGAAATTTTATAGCACCATTGAGTTAGGAATTTTTGATTTGGAACCATTACAATTATTACCATTATAGGACTCTGCTAATAATCGGTATGCAACTTCGAAAAATGGAAAGGAAATAAAAAAAAAAAAAATCCAAATTTTATCCCTAGATAAGATAAGATAAGCAGTTTTTAAATTTGGAAATGAGCAGTTCAAAGCAAAGCAATTCAATTTGGAAGAGCAATTCAACTTGTAGTTTTTTTTTTTAACAATTCAATTTGTAGTTAGTTGTTAACTTTGTTACTTAATCACACCTATTATCGATGTTAAATTTTCATGATCGATCGAACACTTTGTTCCTACGGCAGGTTCCCGACGAAAATGGAATCAAGAAAATAAGTATAAGTTCAGCGAAAACAGCAACAAGGTCAAGATCACCACCACCACGCGGGCTCCTTGAGAGATATAAAAATCCCATCAACCTTCTATTGAAAGTAGGTAGCTAAGATTGTTAACCAAATGAGATTCAAGATGGATAACTCTTATCCCAAAAACTTGTTTCACAAGAAAAATTAATTTCCAAACTCACCCGCATTGGGGTGTTGAGATTGGTTTAGATAGACAAGCTATGCATACTTTTTAAAGAAAAAATCAATTTTAAATGATAAATCTTTAAAAAGAAATAATTATAAATAAATAATCAAGAATCATAATAACCATAAACCCCTAACTCAATTATTATGTATCTAAATTCGTTGACAGAAAAGGGTCAAATTGATCTCTAGATATCACAAGAGACAAACCTTTTTGCAACATTTACCAGATTTGACAATAACGTATGAAGTATCTTGTTGTTCTTGGGCTTCAGGCCCAAGCCCACAAAACTTAAATAAGGCTAAAAAGTAAAAAGTCTCTTTTGTCGGACTCAAGACGAACGGCCCAGATCGAAACATTTTGTCAATAACTAATCCCAACCTTTAAAAAAGTCATGAAAACCAACGGTTAGATCTGCTCCAGAGAATCAGAATATTTCTAAAAAGATTCGTGGTCATTCAAAATAGAGCTCACCTCCAACTCATACCTACCACTGCAGTTAGATTTCTTCGAGGCCAAACGGCGAGAAAGAAGAGAAAATTCAACCCTTTTTAGTACTTTGTTTTACCAGAAACTTTTTCAGAGCTAACCTTTCTCTTTTCTCTCTCTCTTCTTTTCTTCCGATCAGTTCATTTCGTTCTGTGCGTGCTTCAAATTGAGGTCAGACTCAGAAAACATTTGAAGGGTAATTTATTCTGATCAATCTTATTAGATTCGTAGCTTCTGGTTCTAGAGATTTTGCGTTTGAGGTATAGATTTGTGGATTCGTATCTGTTTAAAACTTGTTTGGTTCATTCACTTATATGTTGCCTCATTTCCTTAGTTCAGATTTTTGGGTCTATGGTTGCTTAGATTGATTCTTGAGTTTTTTTTAACTTACTGTTCGTTTTCAGTAGTTAATCTTGAATTTTGTGAGTATGTGTATCTGGGGTTTTTTGTTTATGGTTAATTTTAAGATTCGCTATGAATTTTTATAAAATCTTGTTTAAACAAGTCTTCTTTTATTTATGAGCCATTTCTCTGACTTGGATATGTGATTCGTAGTTTCTCAATTTATAATTGTAATTACGAGTAACTTAGTTCGGATCCAGTCATAATGTCTCACAGCTCCATTCATTGTGCTGTTGAATCTAAGAAAGATTTACAACAATTTGAAAATTTTGCAAATTGCCTTTAGATCTTGAAACCCTTGATATGCAATTTTCTGAAATTCTTGTTACATGGTTGAATTAGCTACCTTACCATTTTGTTTTACCAAGTAACATATTTTTATTTATTCCTTCAATTGGGGATAGTCACGTTTTTTTTTTTCTTTCTAATTTATGTTTATTAATTATTTTTAATTTTGCTAATTACCACAAACCATGTGTTTTTATTTCCATGTTTTATAGTAATAAAATTATCAATTTTCAGCTTAGCTTCTGACTAATAACTTTTTCTTTTGTTAATTGGATTTAAGACTCTGTGAGGTAGAATCGAAGAAAAGAAGGAAAGAGTGTGTGAGATAAATATATCTGTATTTATTTTAGTAACTAATTTTGGTTTTCATTTTTTCTTTTCTTTTTTTTTTATTATTTATTCTTATTCTCTTTTTCGGGATCATTTTTGGTTTGCCTGTTCTGTTTAATGTACAAGAAGTTGAATTCTGGTGCTAAATTATTCATGTTTTCCAACTTTTTTACATGGCCCAGAAATGCACTAAATGATTCATGTTTCCAACTTTGTTACGTGGCCAAGATTTATAGTGATAATCTTCTTGTTTGTGATAGATTTTGTACTGTTTTGCACCTTGCTGGGAGCAGAAATTTTTTTGGCTTCGGAGTCAACAATCTTCTGACCCAATGCCTATATTTTTGTTAAGTTTTTAATCGTACCTGCTGAACAAAGGATACATTTGATTAATTTGTTACACTCAATGCCGCCGCCACCAATTATTCAGCAAAATCATTGTCTGAAACCTGATGTTTTGGGTTTAACTTGACTTTGCCAACCATTTTGGCCTACCCAACAAGGTTGTGCCACCCAAGGATACTTATTAAACTGGTGACTTCATGGATGGGAACAATCTGTGTGAGTTGTAGGCAACGCAATATCTAGAAAGTTTTTTATTCTTAGAAACAGATCCGTGTCTTTCCAACTTTACTTATTTTAGCAATTATACAATTAATCTTATGCAAGATAAAATAAAGCGAAGTAAGAATTTAGAAATGACACCAGGTTTTTAGCGAGGAAATCCCAGTTGATAAAATACGTCAACTGTTTGTGCAGGAAAAACCTCGTGGACTGTGTAGTCCGAAGTAAACCGATCCGCTATGTTTAAAACAAAGTACACTGAACTTTGACTCTGACTCACACTCACTTTGACTGACTCACACTCTATCGTTTTACCAAACACCAATAGCTGACAATCCTCTGGCTTTGTGACATCCCGTCCAACAGCAACTTGACCTCAGGCTTATGCTTGATCTTTGTAGATTAAACAACACTCCTCAAATGCTTTGACCCTTTCAAAATGTGATCGCTGTTACTTCTGTTCTTCAATATCTAAATTCGATGTAGAAGTAGATTTGTTTTTCTCTGATCGATGTAGATGCAACTGTACGATCAGGATTTGAACAACACAACTCTAAACTTATTATGTGTTTATGTGTATGTTCTACAAAGATGACAGATAAATCTCTTGGATTTTTTGCAAAAATAATCTTTCTAAGGCTTTTATGAATAATGAAGTTGTAATGCTAAAGCCATGAATAAACCTAGATGTGTATCAGGGTTTATATAGAATTTTTAAAGACCTAATCTTTCTGAAAATAAAGAAAATTTCGTGCATAGGACTTTTGGTAACATTCTAAACCAAATAGGAAGTTTAAAACTGATCAAGACAAAGTTTCGTAAAATGAAACAGCAGTGGCACCGGTAGCACCGTGTGGATCCGGTTCCTAAAGGACAGGATTGATTTTTCGAATCTCAGCTTCTTGAACCGGCTCCCAACTGTGGTACCGGTTCCCACTTGACAGAATCCAAATAGAAGTTGGAAAATTTATGTTTTTGGTAACTCGGAAAATATACCTTGTAGGTATTTGTCCTAAGTGGGAAACGACTTCCTAAAAGTTGTTCTTTCCTTTTCGATGATCTCAGTATTCTTCTATGAACAACTTTCCAATTCCGCAGTCAATGTCAATCCTGATACAATAACTTGAATTACAACTCAACTAGGATTGGTTTTGACATCGAATATTGCCAATTACAAATTTATATCTCACAATCTGTATTGTCACTCAATCAGGCATAGATTTGTGAACACAACTGTCATTTGGTGCTTGACATGTTATTGACTTCAGTTTTTAATGTTACATTATTTGCTCAGTATTTTCTCTGATTCGAATGGCTGCAGTCACAGATATCTTATGTATGTTTTGGTTTCTTACGTATGTTTTGAAATACACATTTGGACTTGTGAGTTTATTTCTGGCTTATATGTAGAAAAGGAAAAAGGAAAAAGGGAAAAAAATTGCATACGTCTATTAAGCTTAATCTTTAAAGTAAACCCTGATGACCGGTTGTGGAACTGTTTGCATATTTTGATATGCTTTATATGAAATCATTGTTCTTTGCATATACTAAAAAATATCAACCATTCTGAATTTCATATTCAAGGTCAAGCAGTTTGTTGCATATTTAACACTTATTTCTGGTCATGTGGTCTACAGGCCTTAATATCCTTCTATTTTCAGGTGAGAGATGGCAGCAACATCGGCAGCAGCAACATCGGCAACTATCTTTTCAATCGGATCAACTACGTCCTTTGGCTCCAAAGCGAACTTGCTTCCACAATCAAAGGCCTCTGGTGTAAGATTTAACTCCAGGAACTGTTTAAAGAGTTTCAGCGGCCTCAAAGCAGCGACATCTGTAAGCTGTGAATCAGAATCAACCTTCTTGGGCAAGGAAAGTAGTGCAGCACTTCGAGGTTCCTTTGTGGCAAAATCCCAAAAAGAAAGCCAGAGATCATGGAATTGCGTTCAGCCTCAGGCATCTTACAAAGTGGCAATTCTTGGAGCTGGTGGGGGTATTGGTCAGCCACTAGCGCTTCTGGTTAAGATGTCCCCGTTAGTTTCATCGCTGCACCTTTATGATATAGCAAATGTCAAGGGAGTTGCTGCTGATCTCAGTCACTGCAATACTCCTTCTCAAGTTTTGGACTTCACAGGAGCTTCTGAGTTGGCAGATTCTTTGAAAGGTGTTGATGTGGTTGTCATACCTGCAGGAGTTCCAAGGAAGCCGGGTATGACCCGTGACGACCTCTTCAACATCAATGCCAACATAGTAAAAACGTTGGTTGAGGCCGTTGCTGATAACTGCCCTGATGCCTTCATTCACATTATTAGTAATCCAGTAAACTCTACCGTGCCGATTGCTGCAGAAATTTTGAAGCAAAAGGGTGTGTATGATCCAAAGAAGCTCTTTGGTGTCACCACTCTTGATGTTGTGAGGGCGAACACCTTTGTTGCCCAGAAGAAAAACTTGAAGCTCATTGATGTTGATGTCCCAGTTATTGGTGGACATGCCGGAATAACTATTCTACCCTTGCTGTCAAAGACGAAACCCTCTGTCAGTTTCACTGATGAAGAAATACAAGAGCTGACAGTGAGGATCCAAAATGCTGGGACAGAAGTTGTGGAAGCAAAGGCTGGTGCAGGGTCCGCTACACTGTCAATGGCATATGCAGCGGCAAGATTTGTCGAATCTTCTTTACGTGCTTTGGATGGAGATGGTGACGTCTATGAGTGCACTTTCATCCAATCGGAGTTGACTGAACTTCCGTTCTTTGCGTCAAGAGTTAAGCTTGGGAGGAAAGGAGTTGAGGCTGTGATTTCATCTGACCTCCAAGGATTGACCGAGTATGAGGAAAAGGCTCTGGCAGCTCTCAAGCCAGAACTGAAGGCCAGCATTGAGAAGGGGATAGCTTTTGCACAGAAGCAAACAGTGAACGCATAAAAGTTGGCTAGCCGAAAGCACCCAGAGAAAGGGAATGATGTTGCGGATTCATAATTGCATCAGCATTTTCATTTTTGTAGACTAGAATTTCTGCATTTCCTGTTTCCTTGGCGTTGGAGTGATATTCATATGGAGGAATGAAGAGCTGTTTCCTTGGCGTTGGAGTGATTTTGATATGGAGAAATGAAGAGCAAGTATAGAGTTTCGATCCCATCTGCAGTATGTAATACTTAGTTGTTCTGAAATAACATTGCTGGTGCAACCGTAGCAGAGTAAACTGAAAAGGTCTTTTTTGGGTTAGAATAGACTGGATGCTCTCTATCTACATATATATATATATATATATATTTATAAATATATGGAATGAAAGGGAATGAATGTTCTGAACATTAGCATTTGATTTCAAGGAATTTTCTCTGATCTGAATTAAGACCATAATGCTGTTCCTGTCTATTTTCTATTCAAAATGTAATGTGATTCGTGTGAATCTAGTTCGACTAGTGAACTTGGGTTTGATGTTTGTCTTTTTATTTCTAAGAAATGTCTTTCATTAGCTTTGCAGGATGATGGATATCATCTTTTTATATATACCTGATATAATTGTCACCTCGTGTTGTTGCTCAGGAGGGGTGCTTGTTTGAAAGATCTCTCTCTCAATTTGGTCATCTAGCTCTCGGGAAACAACCAAATTATATTTGTCAAAAACAAAAACCCCACCATAATATATCAATATTTCTTTGATGTTTTTTGCGGTTTTTATGTTTTCTGATTGGACATAGTTTTATTATCAAGTTGTGTACCTTTTCCTTTCTGTTTATTTTCCATTTTGTACTATATTATTCTTTCGTACGTCACCACATTCAGTGAATCAGTGGGGGGCAACCAAAATAGACCGACTACCAAACGTTGAGTCTCTTTCTTGGCATGATGAATTTAGTCCTTGTTTAAACTTACACATGTGCAACTCTACTGTTTGTACACCAATTTCCTCTGCCCAATTGACCAAATTGTGATTCCGCTGCCCTTTTCTCTAACAACTTTAGAATGAATTGCACTGCTTGGGCAGGTAAGCAATGGTTTAAATTGTCCTATATTGCCCATCTGAAATCGTCAGGGCATATATGAATTTTTTTTTTTTTTTTTTTTTTTTTTTTCAGGGCAAGGGTTAATGGTTATTTGTTAGAAGGGAGAGGGATGGTGCAAGGCTTGAATACGGGAAATGAGGAGCAACTCAACCACTCACATAACACGGCACTTGCATATGAAATTTAGTTGACACACTGAACATGATACAAATGAAGCAAAAGATAGAAAGCCATTACAGTTGTTAGAAGAATTTTCACACTGCAGGCAATACAGATTTAAAGTCGGCCACATTTTTACAGCTTAGCTGTAATATATGTAGAAAAAAACATGACAAACAAATAACATGAGAAAAGTTAATTCATAGTAGAAGTTCCTTCCTAAGTTTACTGGAACTTCTTAGGATGTAAATGCCCTCACAGTTCTACAGAGACCAAAGCTGCCTATTATACAGAAAGCATATATATATATATATATATATATATATATATATATGCCTGATGTATATTCCATTTCTTTTTCTTAATTTATTTCATATATAAGTTGAATTTCTGTCGCAAAATAAAGGATAAACCTGCTCAATGTTGATCAATGCCATCTGGTGCAAATTAAATTCGCTTATATGATATGGTGATCAGACATTTTAAAACTCGTATGATTCAGATCCCTTTAGGACCTAATATAATATAGCCAACCATTAGAGGAAGACATGGTTCAAAAGGTTGACATGTATATCTCCAAGAATATATCCAGCACATAAATTATTAATATCAGATGAACAAAAGAAGATTTCCCCATACATGCATGCTGAATTCTCACACTTGAATACATAAATTATTAATATCAGATTCCACACATGAAAGAAACAACCCATTGTATGTAGAGGTTCAAATATGATATACATCATTTTGATTAGTAGAAGAAAAACAGTCGGACAAAAGAGACTTCAACTCTTCGTCGTCGTCGTCGTCCCTAATTGCGCACTCAGAAACATATGTGGCATTTGGAGTTGCATTAATGGAGGTAGAAGAAGATTGGGATTGAGAGTCCACCATCCCCGTTAGCTTCCTCCTCTTGTAGTTGGCCTTAAAACAAGCTTGCCTCAGCCTCTTTGTTTTGTCCTCAAGCTGCATATCTGGTATTTCTTCCAACAACTTCCTCTCCTGCTCCAATATCCCTATCGCCTTTCTCAACTTCCCTTCTGCCCCATCTCCACTCTCCTTCCCCAATTCCTGCATAACTCACTCCCCTAAATCATCAATATATATATGTGCATGTGTATATAATACACAAATGTGATCATCAACTTCAATTAATTTTTTAATAATTCAAATGACATAATTGTCTGTCAAAAATAGACACTCATGTACTAATGTTTTTCTTTCAAATAACTGTAGTGTGAATTATATATATATATATATATTTTTATTTATAAAAAAAAAAAAATGATGTGGGGATGTGATTTTCGTATTAAAAAGAGTTTGTGATATTTAGATCAAAGAGTCCAACAAATAAATTGTGGGTGTAACGACTCAAAGCTTGGATGCATTAAAATGAGACTACTTCTACTTCAATGCATACCATTGGACTTTTAGGTGTGTATTTATATGTGTGTATACATACATATATATATATATATATATATGTGTATGCAAAAAAAAAAAAAAAAACCTACTCTACATATTTTCCCGAAAACAAAAAAACCCTCTCTCTCTCTCTCTTCATTTTTTTTTTTTTTTTTGGGTAAGTAAAGAACCTTTTTTTGGGGGAGGAAGAAGAGCCTATATAATCAAATATACATATATCTATACATGTATATATAGGGAGAGATAAAGACAGATCTTGTGCCTGAACATTCTTGATTAAGGTTTGGAGGCTCATCAACTTCCGGTGAGGCCACCTCATAATGCCCAACTCCCTACAGCGTTTCTTCAACAGTGTCAATCCAACATTAAGCTCCTTTGCAGCTTGTGTGATGGGCATATAAAAGTACTGAGATATAGTGTTTCTAGACAGCGTCTTGTAATTATTACTCCTTTCATCAACCTTGCACCTTCTAACCTCTTTCTCTTTCACACTCTCCTCATCACCAATCTCTTCATTATTGTATCCCAACAACAATGGCTGTTGGTTCTCAATCTCAAATCCATCATTCATCACTTCATTCCAAACTCCAAATCCATTCCCATAACCACACAAGTAATCCTCTGCAATGATAAAATTAAGGCCAATATCATACCTCAAAAATTAAGATCATGATTTTAAAGTCGAAGAGTTTGAACAAAATGGACAGTCAAAGACCTAGTTGAGTTTCATTCAAACTTTTCGACGTGAATAGCATTTCTCCAAATAGTATATATCACACTCAACGAAGTTAAAGCAATATGATTAGTGTATGTATGTTTATGTGTTTGTATAATACTTACCTTGAATATTTATATTAGGAGTTGGCACAAGATCGAGTGATGAATACAAAGGATCGGTAGGGAAGCTCTCCATTAAAGGCAAAGCATCAAAAGCAGTCTCTTGTATTGCTAAATCATACTGCCAATTCAACGCAGAACATCCACTGCTTCATGCAAATACACACAAAAAAAAAAAGGTTGTTTAAATTGGATATATTGTTTGCGCGCACTTTTTGTATATTGATTGTGAATTGTAAATGAAGGAAGATAAAGAAAAAAGTAGCTTCTAGTCAAACCCTAATACAAATTACCTGAAATCAAGAGGAGATAGTTGGGTTGGAAAGGAGAACACTTCTTCGTCTTCTTCTTTAGCCATTACTTCATATCTTGACCAACCCTTGACAGACTGACTTCCCATCCAAATACTACTACTTTATTTATTGTGTGTGTGTGTGTGTGTATAGAGAGAGGAGAGATTCTTTATGGTTTTTAGTAGTCTACTAATGAGTGAGTTGCCAATTTGCATGGAATGAAACGAATATAGAGAGAGAGAGAGAGAGAGAGAGAGAGATGTGTATGAAGAGAAGAAGAGTACGGGTCATACTGTATATGTAAGCATTAACTAGTATTTATTGCATGGGAGATCATGCGCCGTCCCATGAATAAAACGGCTAATCCTCATTCATGCAATTAATCATCTCCTTCTTTATCAAACTCCATCCTAAATCACTCTCTCACAGTTAATTAACTTTTATTTGATAAAATTTGAACAAGCATAACTTGTGATTGGATTATGATCTTCTTGTCTTTTTTATATATAGTTGGACTATTTTGATTGATATATATATATATATATATATATATATATATATATATAGAGAGAGAGAGAGAGAGAGAGAGAGAGACTGACTGAAACAATTATAACACCCACTGATTGAACTTTTTATTTATCAAATTAATTTGTCACACTGTCGAATTTGTAGACCTTTGCCACCATTTTTTTAAAAAATTTTTTAAAGGTCTTTGCCACCAATTTCTTTTCCCCAGTTGTGTGATACAACTTTAAGACAATTCTTTTAATTAAGCAAAATTTAGTGTTGAAACTTAGCTAAGCATCACTTTAATGTGAATGTTAATTGGATTATATTCGTCATTCACCTCAAGTCACAGTGCCAAAAATTCCAATTAACATTATATAAGCCACCTATATATATTGGCACAGAATAATCCTGGGAATATTGTCCATGATTTTGTGTGCGCCAAGTACATAGTTTAATGTGAAGAGGTGGTTTTTATTTATTATTATTATTTTTATTATTAACAAGAGTTATGATTTCTCTTTATGTAGTAGTTCATTTATCTCGAAATTTGTGAATGTCAAAAATAAAATTTTTTTTTTTTAAATTTCAACCACAACTGTTTTAAAGAAAGTCCATTGTTCTCATCTGTTCTTTTACTGCGGAGTGCAAACATGTGGCCACTTTTTAATCTCGTTTGGCACAAGAATCAGAGACTGTTTTAGAACCAGAGAGAATCATAAAAATCACTGCACAGAACACCAGGATTTCCTCTGTAATTTCCCAGATCCAGTTTAATTATTACACTTGATATTTCATCCTTTAGATCCATGAATATTCATGATATATATATATATTCATATATATTATCATATATCATATATGTATGTATATTTGGGTAAGTAAAGTAGTATTGATAATATGTTTGTATATCACTTTATTTTCAATCCTATAATATATTTGGATATAGAACTCGGGCATCTAGCTTTTTGATGAGCATGCATGAGCATGCTTTCATCTAGAATTTCTATCATGTAGCACTAGCGAAGTGTAACGTACCTATCATTTTAACACGTAGTGGAAATTGAATTAAACCGTTTAATAGTTCATCATTATTCCATTGGTGATAACTTCTGAAGGAGTTACAATTAAAATTTGAACAATATGTCTAATTAGACAATTTAATTATTCATTGGAGAGAACTTCTGAAAGAGTTACTATTAAAATTTAATGATTATTTCTATTTACCAACAATTAATTGCCCCCTGAAAATAATTCGTAGTGGGCTTAAAGACTAAGCACGGAGGTTACGATACTAGTATTTTACAAGTTTAATTGGTGATTAATAAAGTGAACTGATGATTTGATAGCATTACTGATCAGAGAATTTGATTTACGTGATAAAACTTATTACAAAAATAACAGTGTTTGTCTTCACTAGATAGAAAATTTCAAGCCTTATTTATTTTTATTTTTTTAAACACCACCCTCCTTCAATTCAAGATAGGTAATGTTACCTTGAAAGCTGATGCCTTTATAGCTTATGGGTTAGTATTTTCGGTAAATTTTGAATTATCAATATCAACTTTCGATACCTACTAATCTAACTTATAACCCTTGTTATCATGCATGAATAGGTGTGAGACAGAGGCTCTCTCTAGACACAGGCTCTATCTCTCTCATTTTACTCTACTTTTGCAAATGTGAGTCTACCCCTCCCCCCCACCCCACATGCGCGCGCCCTGTGTATATAGATCCAATAATTTGTGTGATTGGAAACAATACTATAATTTTTTTTGTAATTTTAAAGGGGCGATATGAAAATTTCATTACTGTGGGGTGGGTCTGTGCATGTGTATATATCTTATTATACTACATTCATTGACATTTGGGTAAAGTGCAAAAAATCCCCCTGAACTATTAGCCAATTGCAATAAACCCCCCTGATTTAACAAATGCCCTCCTGAACTATTTAAAAGTTGTAGATGAGGACAACAGTAACAATTCCGGTACCGGAAAAATGAGTTACCAAACTACCCTTTAGTGTTACAGTGTTGTTTGGTTTAGATGTTGTACTATGTTGGTTATGTGTCAAAAAAATCTGAAGAACCAATCAGAAGCTGACAGCACATCTCAACCTTATCATTTTATCATCACCCAACCACCACTCATTTTAGCACCAAACAATGCGTTTATAGAGCGAGAACGAAACATGTCCTGACTGTACGAGCAAAGGAAGACGAAGACGACTCTGAAACACTTTAAGACTTTAACATCCATACATCTTGTATTCTAGTGCAACGAAGACTACTCTGAAACAGTCCTTTTGTAGCTGTAATACCCAGTCCTTCAGCTATCTGGCGCAAGGGGTAAACACTTATAAACTTAATAATTGATTTTGGTCTTTAATCCTTAAAAAATGGGTTTAATTTTGGTCTTTATTGGTTAATATTGGGGTTTGATTTTGGTCTTTATTCGTTAATATTGGGTCTGATTTTGGTCTTTACGCCTTAATATTGGGTTAGATTGGGTTTGATTTTGGTCTTGATGCCTTAATATTGGATTTGATTTTGGTCTTAAATCAATAATATTACACTATATAAACCTTTGTTGGTCTGTAATGGCGGTTTCTTACCTTGAATGTGTGTTTATGTGAACTTCTGTAGCTGATATATATATTACTTTGAGTTTGTTTTTTGCTTTGTCTGTGATAATGTTCAGTATTGACAGACTTTATAACTTTTATATGTTGGTCAGAGAACTTTTATACGTGGATCTCATATATGTTTTTCAGATTTTATATGATATTGAAGAGTACCATTTGTTTGTAACTATAATGAACTTTATGTCAGGGTCAGGGGTCTGATAACAATGTGTGTCTTCTTATGTTAGATTCCCTTGATGCGATTGTTTGTAGTCCTTTATTCTTTTCAAATATCCAACCAAGGTTTAGTTATGTGTAGTAATTGTTAGTGTATTTATATTCCTTTTAGACTGGTTGTTGAGTGGTCCCTTTTATATTGAATATGTTGACTAACCCCTTTTGTATTGATTATGTTGAGTTGTCCCTTTTTTATTGATTAATTTGTAGAAAAGTGTCATTTGTTTGGTAAAGGTTTTTGTGAAATTCTCTTTCTTACTTTATAATGAAGCATGAAAAGTGTGAAAGTTTTTTATTGATTATGACTGTGCATACTTCCTTTTGACATTATTATTATAATTGCAACATAATTGACTTAAATATTTCTAATTAAAGTATTTTTTTGTAGATGGGTATATTATATTGCATTAGGTTAAACCATGTGTTTAAGAAAACACCCCACATGGCTTATGTAAGAGGGAAGATATCTTATTTTGACAATGTAGATCTAGACAAAATGTCTTGCATTGAGGTGCAAGGTATGGCAGACCAACTTGGCTATAGGAAGATTACTGAGGCTTATTACAAAATGCCTAATACTGAAGAATTCAAAGAACTAAGGTCTGATGTTGAAATGTTGAAGATATTTGAATCTCACGAGGCATATAAGCAAGTCAATAAAATCAATGTGTACATTGTTGCACCACAGTTGATGGGAAAAGAGATCTATGTAGAACATCTTGAAGAAAACAATAACAACCATGTGGATGCTACAACTATTGATTCAGAGATTGACATACCTTTTGAAGCTGCAAGTGATGATGATGACATTGATAAAGCATATATGGCTTTTGCTGAGAAGCTTACCTGGTTCAGATGATGAGATTGACAATGTTATTCATCTCGTCCCTAATAGTTAGGAATTTTTGCCTTCAAGGGATCTGGCAAAAATACCTCTAGAAATTGGCATGAGGTTTGCATCAACTGTTGATTTTAGGCTTGCACTTAAGGGGTATGTAATTAAGGAAAAGTTAGATATCAGGTTTAGTAGAAATGATGGTGATAGAGTGTCAGCAGTGTGCAAGCAAGGTTGTGGCTGGAGGGTATATGCTAGTAAACCAAGTAATGAGAATTATTTCATAATCAAAACATTGAGCTTGGAACATAACAATTACTTGTGGGGTCAAAGCAGTCAACAAGCTACATCTACATATCTAGCAAATAAGTACTTGAAGCAAGTGAGATTGAATCCAAGTATGGGGTATGAGGCTCTAAAGAGAACCATTGCAATTGATTATGATATTGATGTCTCCGAACATAAGGCACGCAGGGCAAAGAAAAAGGCATTAAGCATTATTAAGGGTAATGAAGTTGAACAATATTCTAAGTTGAGGGATTATTGTGCATTGATTTAAAGAACCAATCCTGGAAGTCATGCAACAATAGATGTTGATCCCATGTCATATGATAATAAGATAAAAACTTTCCAAATGATCTTCATTTGTTATGCTGCAATGAAGAAATGATTTAGAGATGGTTGTAGACCATTCCTTGGAGTTGATGGGTGCTTTTTACAGAAGTTTTTGGTGGTCACCTATTGTCTGCTGTAGCTTGTGATGGATATGATCAAATATTCCCTGTTGCATTTGCAGTTGTAGAAGCTGAAACGAAAGACTCTTGGGCATCGTTTATGACAGAGTTAATGAAAGCTGTGGGACC